TATGTCATGTTTATGACAGTGTCATGACAGTCTTATTCACCCCCTTCAAATAAAGTGTTACCAAAGTTGCTTGTGATCTGCCATTATATAAAAGAAGACCTAAAAGAAAAAATAAGAAACGTCGCGATACTCCATTAGATTTTAGTAAGCATGTTTGTGGAGATGCATAGTGGGAAAAATTGATCAGTTAATGCAATACAGGGAAGAGAGAACACTAAAAGGAAAAATGATGAAATTTTAAGAAGGAAGGAGAGCAATACTGATGATGAATTATCCTTCCTCTATTGGAGAACTGAAAAGAGCTTTGGATAGAACTAGGAATCATGCTCCAGGTTAAGATGAAGTCTGTTATATTATGCCAACACATGTGAGTGATGACATTTTAAATAAATTATTAATTTTATATAATAAGATTTGGAAAGAAGGGAGTCTGCCTTGTAAATGGAAAGAAGCAATTGTTACTCCACTAAAGTAACCTGGGAAAGATCTTAGTAATCCTGGAAACTACAGACCAATTGCTTTAGCGTCTAATATGTGTAAATTAGGGTTAGGGAGATTAATACAATATTTGGAGTCAAGAAATACAATTGCTCCTTATCAGAGTGGCTTTTATAGAGGGAGAGGAGCAACAGATCCTGTTTTATGTTTAGAAGATGATATTATAAAAGCTCAGATTAATAAGGAAACTGTTGTTGCTGTGTTTTTTGATGTAGAAAGAGCATCAGATATGTTATGCAGGGAAGGGTTAATGATTAAATTACATCAGATAGGAGGTAATATGTTTGATTGGATATGGGATTTTTTATGTGATGGAAATATTCAAGTCAAAATAGGATCTCATGTTTCACAGTCATGTAAAATAGAAAATGAAATTCCTCAAGGAAGTGTGGTAAGTCCAACATTAAAGATATTTTTTAAAGAATTATCTATTAGTTTTGGCAAGTCACTTTTTGCTGATGATGGAGCATTATGGAAAAGGGGGAGAAATGTAGAACATCTCATCTTAAAACTTCAGGAAGGTATAGATAAAGTGGGTAAGTATGGGGTAGAGTGGGGCTTTAAATTTTCAATTGAGAAGACAAAAGTAATGTTTTTTACAAATAAAAAAAACTGTGGTTGATAAAAAGTTGTATTTCTATGGGAAAGAGTTAGAAAGGGTTAACTGTTTTTGTTTTTTGGGAATAGTTTTTGATAAGAAACTAACTTGGGAAAATCACATAGCACATATGGAGAAAAGTAAAAAGGTTCTTAACATTATGAGGCGTTTAGCTGGGTTGACATGGGGTGCAAATTTTTGAATCACTTAAAAATATTTGTGTCACTAATTTGATCAAGAACAGATTATGGGAGTGTGGTGTATGGTTCAGCGGCTAAAACTAGGTTAAAGAAATTAGATGTTATTCAAGCCAGAGCACTGAGAATTTGTTTAGGGGCAGTTAAATCAACTCCAGTATGTGCTTTACAAGTAGAATCAGGAGAAATGCCATTATGTGTCAGAAGACAACAGATAATGATTAATTATTGGATACATTTAAAAGGACATAATGAAGATCATCCAGTTAAGAAAGTATTAGAAAATTGTTGGGAAAAAGGAAAGGTACAAATTAATAGTTTTGGGTGGGTTGGGGATGACAGAGCAAAAATATTTAATGTAATAAAGAATTTAGTCCAACAGTATTGTGGCCTTTGAGACCTACATGGACATGGGAATATTTTAATGTTGACAGATCATTATCAAATATTAATAAAAGAAATACTGTTTAATAGATATTTGTCAATAATTTTATAATCAAATACAGAATAAATATGATTTGCAAATTTATACTGATGGTTCGAAAGACCCCAAAAATGAAGCAACCAGTATAGCAGTAGTGATTCCTGAATTAAAGATTAATATTTCAAAAAGAACATCTAATTATTTGAGTATATATGCAGTAGAATTATGTGCTATTTTATTAGCTTTAGAATGGGTGGAGGATACTAATATAAATAAAATAATAGTTTGTAGTGATTCATTATCTGCATTGTTGAGTATTGAAAAGGGACGCACAAATAATCATCAAAATATATTATATGAGATTATGGCTGTTCATCATAGGATATGTGAAAAAAATAAAAATGTAATATTATTCTGGACTCCTGCTCATGGGTAATGAAAGAGCAGATTGGTTGAGGAGGCAATTAAAAAAGAAGATATTGATATGCCAATAAAGTTATCTAAATCTGAAGGCAAAAGTACAGTTTGGAGAGAAAGCAAGAAGATATAAAAAAATTAGATGGGATAATGAAATAAATAGAAGTCATTTATATAGGATACAAAGTACAATTGATGTAGTAAGGGTCAGAGGAATAAACAGGAGGGAGGAGATAATTATAAATCGAATAAGAACCGGGCACAGTTTTTTAAATGGAACTCTTTTTAAGATGGGGAAACATCTTACTGGTTTATGTAGTTGGTGTGATACTGTAGAAACGATGGAACATGTTTTTATTAGTTGTAGAAAATATGCAAATCAAAGAAGATTATTAAAAACGGAATTAGGTTTTAATAGGGAATTGAAATTTGAGAATGTGGTTGATCAATTAAATAGTATTGAGGGGAAAAAGAAGATTTTTCGTTTTTAAAAAAATACTGTGGTCTTTATGAGAATTTGAGGTATATATATTGGGATCCAATAGATGGCAGTAATGCAGCAATAATGGATGCAAGTTGCCGTTAAAACCTAAAGAAGAAGAAGACGATACTCTATTGGCCAGCAGGATGATACGTAATATTTTCAACGAGCCGCCATGTTAGAAAGCCAACCCCTTTCTTTCATTCGGTGAGGAGGAGATTGCATATACTTTAAAGAAAGAAGTGGCAGTTTAGAGGTTGAATCTGACCAAACGCACATTTATAGAAGACATATTTGTTTTGCCAGGGTTCTTGAACGCTAACAGTGACTTAGCCGCTCTCCACAATGGCGACTGCAACTCCCACCGCCCACAGAGGCACATGCGGCGGCAGCGCCACACCGCTAAGTCCGACCAGAATAACCAGGCTGCAGGAAAAACAACAGCTCAGAGACCTCAATGACCGTCTTGCTGTTTACATCGATAAAGTTCGTAGTTTAGAGTCTGAGAATGACGTACTTCACCTCCAGATTAGCGAAAAAGAGGAAACTAGGAGTCGGGAACTCGGTGGACTGAAAGCACTGTATGAGACGGAGCTAGCCGACGTCAGGAGGAGTTTGGATGACTCCTCCAAGGAGCGGGCCTGGCTGCAGATTGAGTTGGGAAAGGTCAAATCCGATCATGAACATCTTCAACAAAAGTAAGCTATAAATTCATGCTGTCATTCTGTGTAACACTTACGCAACTCTGCAAATGCTTCACAAAACGCATTACTCAAACTTTCGAGCCACTTTTGAAACATTACACGGTCAAGTGAATCTGGGCGTTAGATTGGATGTTTGCACTGGGAACGTCATACGGGTTCAGCCTAGATAAAATTGGTTTAGATTTGATTTGATAGTTTGAAATCCGGGAGCTAACTTCAACTTCAATGCTATGGCGTACGCAAGCTAAATTACCGTATTGAAGTTAGTTTGAAGTTGGATATTGGATATTTGCGCTCCGCGGAGTAAGCGGTGTCTAGCTTAAGGGTGATCCGATTCATGAACGCTAATTTCGGCCAGCCGTTCTCGACCGTTCCCCCTTCAAACGCTTGGAGGTTCACTTGGGGACTGTCAACAAATTAAGTCATTTTAAATATTTTTAATATTACAGAAATATAGTTTTCTTTAACCGCTTTCAAATCCTTTTACCGAATGTCTCAGAATCATTTTGAAATTGTTCTAATAGACTGGACAGATGAGGCACCCTCATTTTTCCTCCATTTTAATCTTTTTGTATATTTTTTTCTGTAATTTTATATTAAAAAATACAATAAAGGTTTTCAATAGCTTCCTTGTCATGTTACCCACTGATAAAGAATGAAAATGAGTGTACCTCATCTCTCCAGTCTATTAGATTTGAAATTTGAAATATTGAAAATGACTTAAATTGAATAAAAATTAGTGTGCCTCATGTAATAGCATGAATTACAACTTTTTTTTGTGTCAGTTTGTCACAAGGCAAGACATCTTTATATTTGTTCCAAAGGAGTGTTTGGCTAGGAAATTTGTTGACAGTCCTAAGTGAACCTCTGAACGTTTGAGGGGAGAGGGTGGAGAACAGCTGGCCGAAATTAGCATTCATGAATCGGATCAACCTTGAGCTAAACGGCCCTTACTCTGCGGAGTGCAAATTTCCAACTCATAACCAACTTCACCGCGGTAATTAACTTTAGATAGTTATTGTTATTGGTTCTGTATTGTAAAAAGAACAATTTTACAGAAAGTTCCTTTGAAATATCTTTTGTAGCAGTAAGCACATTCTATTTGATATGCATTCTTTTGTACAACATTCATTTATTGAATGAGTGTTAACATAAATTAGTTTGTTGCTTGATATTGTCTTAAATCTGATCGTAGGAACTGTCACACTGCAGCTGTTGACAGCAGTAGCAGAGACAAAAAAAAAAATCTGCAAGGGGGACAATACTTTCTTCCAGTACAGTATACGGAAGGGATGTTTGCAGTTACCATATGTTGGGTCTTATTCTGGTCTTGACCTGGATAGTTCACAGTAGGATGTTAATTTTGGTTCACTGAAACAGGAGTGGTATCTAAGGGTACCAGATTGCTGGGGCGCTAGGGCAGTCATCCAGCAGCCTACCATGTTTTTGAGTTAATAAGGCTTGAAATCGACCTTTAAAATATCACAAGAAGCTAATGTGACATTTAACAATACCTGAACTCCGAAACATAACGTCTTGCGTCTTAAAAAAGGTACAAAAAAAAAAAGATTACATAAACAAAGCTTTGCCTGGTGAGAGCACAAGTAAAGCCTGAAGTATGAAGAGAGAAATTGTCAGTTTTCAAACCCATCTTCTCCGTTGCTGTGTTTGGCTGAGAAGCAGGTAACTAACAATTGCATATCCCAAGGAACTGCTGTGTTTGTAGTTGCAGAGTTGAGAAGTCATTCAAGTTTCATACACTCATCAGTTTCCTACTGTAGATGCAATTTTAAGAGACAACATGCAAAAAAAAAAGTTCAAAAGCTGCATCAAATACTTGTAGAAGCAATCAGGCAGCAGCCATGACTGACAAATCTTACGGCTTTCTCGTGTCATTGTCGCATTCTAATTTAAAGTCATGTAGGAAACTCCTCATTGAAACACTTAAATGAAAAAGCCATTTTGGTTTTGGGAACAAAGTTCTGACAACGTTAGGCAAATAATCACTGACAATGCAACACATTAAGTAATCGTACTTAAGGTACTTAAGTGCTCTCCAGAAGATATACAAGTTACTGTAAGGTTTCCCTCCAGAAAACTTGCTAAGTCCGTTGGTTGGGTCGCTGAGTCGGTGCACTGTGTTTTTGTATTAAACAATGTTGAGTTGAAATGTAAAATATTACTGGGTAATTGCATGTTGGAAAACATTGCTGCCTTCCGAAAGACTGGCAACCTGTCCAGGGTGTACCCTGCCTCTCGCTTGAAACGTTTGCTGGAGATGGGCAAGCAACCCTCAAGGTTGTACAGAAAATGGATGGATGGATGGATGGATGGGAAGACATCACCAATGAAATTAGTTTTAAACCTACAACTATAGACTCTTAAAAACAAATTCAAAAATACTATTAAAATGAATATCATTTATTGGCACTTCTGTTTAATCCAAATAAGTCGGCAGTTGGAGAAGGCCCCCTGCTAATATTTTGAACACACACCACCGATATATAAATGTAACATTTATTGAGAATATCAATACTGCTAAATTTGATTTAATGGTTTTAGCATACATAAACTAAAACATTTTAAATTTAATATTTAAATTTGATTTTAAGGAGCTGGTAAGTTTATTTCAGAAAAGTTCAAAGAACAATATTCATAGTTGGATTGTTTTGTTACCACAGCTACAATCTGATGCTGTGAGTTAATCTTTGAGTTTGAGCTCTGTTTGTTCACCTGTACAAATTAGTAAACTACAATTATAGCTTATTACATTTTAGGTTGGCCAGTTAAACTACTCCCCCTCTCCCAGATTTCACTAAATCTAACACAGAAGCTGTTAGAGATGCTGATGTTTTTAGCATGAAGACGCCCCCCCCCCCCAAGTCAATTTCCGCTCCAGTCCTCAGACAGCCTTGGGCCGGCCCTGCATGATGAGTTAAATCCGCTGCACTGCACGCAGAGATGAGCAACAAATGGGAGATTTAATTTAATGCTGCTAATGTGGCTTTAGTAGCTCTTCCGTTTCATGTCTGTTGAGTTTTTAACAAGGGGACACAGAAACTGTTTTGGTCGGTCCAATTTATGGGACTAGTTTCTCGGATCTCAGCGGACATTAACTCTGTTTGACTAAGTGGACAATGCATTTGATGCATCGTTTAACCGTAAAAATATACTACTGTTACTAATAAAATAATATAACACCAACGTGACGCTTGACTACGAGGAGAGCGCGAAAACTCCTCACCGGGCTGAACCTGCATGATGAGGTTAGTGCTAGTTTGTTAACTACTAACACACCGGCCAAGCGGGAACATATACATAAATTTTATCAGTGCAGACAGAGCCAGGTGCTGGGCAGCGTGTTGAGATGGAAATGCTGCACAAAATTCTTTGTCCACAAATATAAATCATTCTCACCACTCCCTCAACGCACCTCTGAAATCACGACTACAAGTTATTCCTGGGGTTCACAGAGAGCCTGCACAACCAGAGCTAATGCGGGGGTTTTAAACTCCTCCCCTGATCAAAAACTCTGGAAAGAAACATAATTCCTCACATGGGGTTGATGTAAATATCCATACAGGTCAGCCTGTGTCCAGTTTGAATGAAAGGAGGCACGTGCGATCCGTGGTGCGGTAAACTTAAGACGTCTAACTGCAGCAGCCCACGAGGCAATGCGCAGAGGCAACGTGCAGAGGCGCCAGGGTATGATTGGTCCGGCTTTAAATGCATAAACTATAAACCTATCTTCTCTAAAGATACCTTTTAGGAATAAATCTGCTCCTAACATCACCCAAACGCTCAGAGCAACAGAGACAGAGTAAAGCCTGGCTTATTATACAGTGGGGGAAACCCTGGTTAATGGTTTCACAGTTTTCCTAATGATGAAGACATTTCTTATAAGGCAGTAAGTAAGTTTATGCACTTTTTTTATTTTTATTGCTGTTGAGTGCAAAGCATTTTTAATGTTATCTCGTTGATATCCAGATGCACTCTGATAACATATGGACAATTGGGGGGAAAATTACTCTCTAATTTCACCCATCTCTCTATACCAGCTACACTAAAAAGGACACAGATGCTGCAGCAGCCGTGGCCAGATTGAAGGAATTGGAGGCTCAGCTCAATGGCAAAGATGCAATGCTGGCTACTATACTATCTGAGAAAAGGGGGCTAGAAAATACTCTATCTGAGCTGCAGGAACAACTTCAGGAGGTAAACGCATAAATTATTTTGAATGTGTATTTTTTTACTCCGACATAATCACATACTCCAGACGGTGTTTCTTTTCAGATGGAAACGGGTCTTTCTCAGGTCAAGAAGGAGCTTTCTGATGAGATGCTTATGCGTATTGACTTGGAAAACCGTTGCCAGAGTCTGGCAGAAGAGATGGACTTCCGAAAGAGTATGCATGAAGAGGTGAGGATGCCACTTGTCATGTTTGTATAGCTTTGTAGTGCACATCTGTGGTTAGTCGGGTTTAACTCATTTATTCATTCTGGAACTGAGCCGTTCAGGTGAACCTCTGGAGATGATGGACAATCTTGACCACTTTCTTAATGAGACTCAGAGTATCTTCAGTCAGAGGCTTCTTCCAATTTGCTGTAACACAGATCACTACAGAAGCTCTTTCCTGTCCACAGCCTTTACCATGCAACTCTTGGAAGACTTTTGAATTATTTGAGTTATAGCAACCTTTAGATATATTATGACTTAAATAATAATTAAATTACTACTAATAATTAAATGATAATTAAGGACTGCACAGTGGTGGAGTTGATAGCACTGTTGCTTTGCAGCAAGAAGGTTCTGGGTTCGATTCCCGGCCCGGGGTCTTTCTGCATGGAGTTCGCATGTTCTCCCTGTGCATGTGTGGGTTCTCTCTGGGTAGTCCGGCTTGCTCCCACAGTCCAAAAACATGACTGTCAGGTTAATTGGCCTCTCTAAATTGTCCCTAGCTGTGTGTGTGTGTGTGTGTGTGTGTGTGTGTGTGTGTGTGTGGGTGTGTGTGTGTGTGTGCATGGTTGTTTATCCTGTCTGTCTCTGTGTTGCCCTGCAATGGACTGGCAACCTGTCCAGAGTGACCCCGCCTTTCGCCTGGAACGTTAGCTGGACCAGCACCAGCAACCCTCCCGACCTCACTAGGGAGAAGGTTGTTAGAAAATGGACGGATGGAAATAACAATTAAAACATCAACTCAAACTAATATATTGGTATAGCCAGTGCAGCTGCACTGCTGTTAAATTCAAGAAGACTTTCTTAATCATATTTAGAGTTGATGTTGTAATTATGACACTTAAACAATTCAAATGTCCCTTTGTTTTTATCCTACATTAAATAAAAAAATAAAAAAATATTTACTGAGTTATAACTCTGTAAATATATTTTCTTTACTTTTATTTATCCCAGTTTGTCACACTGATATCAGAGATCTCAATGAGGGTCCCATTTACAAGAGATATATATTTGGATAAACCATCAAAATTACAAATACAACAAAATGAACAATTAAAAAGAGCAAGTTTCATAAGAAAATTTCTCTTTTTGACTTAAAGGATATTTAAATTATCCTAAAGGAATCAAAGTGGAAAACTTCAGATCCTGCTGTAGAGTGTTCTATCTTGATGGAGCAGAGTCATAATAAAACATTTTCCAAATTCTGACCGTACTAATGGATCAAAGAAGGTGAGCTGGTCCTGAAAGTGTAACCTGTCACTGGACTATTTTAGTTCTCAAGGGCTGGTGTCCTGCAACTCTTAGATGCCTCTAGGGCAGTCAAGTTCCCCAGAGCCCTGCCAATGACCTCATTATTTCTCTCTAGTGTGTTGAAGTAGAGACGCATCTAAAAGTTGCAGGACACCCGGAGTTGCCCACCCCTCGTCTAAGTGAAAGGTGTGATAAGTAGAGTGGGAATAATTCAAAGATAGTTTTAGAGATAGAAATATACTAGTGCATGAGTCTACAAATTTATTTAGATGGCCAGTTCACCTGAGAATATAAATTACAGTTACAACAGGTGTAGACATGAGTATTCATATAAACATCACAGTAATCTAATAAGGGCAGAAATGTCATTAAAACAAGAGGTTTTCTAGCACTGAAAGAAAAACTAAATATTTCTAAAGAAAAGGTCTAGTTTAATCTTTAACTTCTTTACAACATTTTTAATGCCACGTAGATGAAGGCTTGTCAACTTGTGCATCTTAACATAGTCAAATAGTATTCCCGTCATTGTTTTTAGGAAGGATTTGAGGAAATTTCTTCTTGTTGGCATGACCTTTGTCTTTACATTTAGGACTAGTCTCAGCTGAAGCTAGTCAGTTTTAATGAGACTGAGGGTCAAATGTAGGTGCCCAAGCACAACAGAAACAGTTTTTGCATGGAAATAAAGAGTGTCATCAGTTTTTCACTGACACCTTTTACATAAATTGAAAACAGAGTTGGACTTAAAATAGAATCCGGTGGTACTCCTTTTATGATCAAGTAGTACCACCTGGTGCATGCATTGTCTACAATTTGACAGATAATTAGTTAGATTCAGAGGTAGGGTTGAAACTATTCCATGAGTAATGCGAATACCTCAATCATTAAAATTCCTTGAGGAAATTTATCTGCCTCGAAGCTTCGTTAAGTTATATTTTATTATTTAATACACCATGTTCTGGCCGGG